ATAAAATTCCGGCTCAAAATTATTCAAAAATAATAATTATAAAATTAATGATGAATGAAAAATTATTTTTTTCTTAATTTGAAAATTCAAATTCAACTTCATTGGAAAGTCCTCACTTGAATGGATTGAAAATACAAAATAATTAATGCGCAGAATTTCCTCGAGTTTATTTCAAAAATTAGAATTCAACCAATTTTAATACTCAATTGTTCAAAAATATTTCATTCATTCAATTATTTCATTTATTCTGCATTTTAATACGTGGTTTTATTTATGCAGGGGCGTTCCTGCTACAAATTCAGTACAATAATACAAATAATGCTAGTAATATTAATAATGAAGATAATAAGAGTACGCTAAAGCGAGATAAAAGCGAGACGAGTGGTAAAGCCAATTACAAATCCGGATTACATAGTTTCAGCTATTATAGAGTAGTAGCTACAGAAATTTATTCAATATCGTTTAAGGATATGTGGAAAGAAATGAACAGAAATAAACAAAGTCGATCAATTGCATAACCAAAGATTCACAAAGCCTAGATTAATAGATCAATCATTTAATTCTGATGCGCGTAGCGGCATGCATTTTTGCATAAGACCAAATAAGGTCTTTACATCTCTGAAATCATTCGAATTCAAGTAAGCGGAAAGGCTGGAAATTGAGATGGAGTCCAGATCAAGCAAATAATTTGGGAGGTAATGGGATCTCAAGACATGATGAAAAGAGCAAAAAAAAGAATATGTAACGAGTCTTCGGGGAGTTGGCAAAGGCATAAAGTGCAGGGCTGGGTAGGGTCCAACTGGTATCCGATTCGATTGGTGTAGTAGCTTCTTGCATGAGATGAAAAAATTCTAATTTGCATTTTTTGTTCTTACAAATTCGATGGGGCACCTCTCAGCATAAAAATTCTTGAAATCATTGAGCGGATGTCTAAACACCTTCAGTAATAACGAAGTTGATGAAAGGTAGCGTCTTAAAACATCATACCTAGCCCGTGCCAGGAACTGTTCCAAGATGTCGGGAATCCTCACTCGCCACCAGTCCGGTGACAAATTGGACCAGAGATCCTCATTTTCCAGTGTCACTAAGCAATGTTTCAGCTGAGTAATCCAGTTGTACTTGGCAGACATTGGTAGATTTTCGATTGGTGAAGAAGCTAGCTCAAGCAGCCGTATCAGGCAGATCCTAGGAAGGCGGTCTTCAGACATTCCAAGGACCTTGCAGACCCAGTGTAATGCCTGCTTCATAACCTCGTACGAAATACCATGAATACCCGTCTCGAGACGCAGTGAATTTCCAGGGGTGCAGCTCGGGAGGTTGAAAAGTCTCTTAAAGAACCAGAGGTGAGCTGACTCAAGTGTGGTCAAATCCCGGAGAGCCTACAAGGAGGAGGTGTAGGTCAGTGTGGAGGTGACAACACTGGGATGCCGTCTCTTCGTACCTTCCCAGGAATCAGCCCCAATTGATAAGAGAAGCCGAAGTGCCGCAGCTGAGGCGACTCGAGTCCTAAAGGCAGCGGCCATAGTGGCACCACGTCCAGTAGCAGATGAAGTAAACTTCACTCCTAGATATGTATATTCAGGCACAATTTCAACTGGGTTTCCATTGAGCTGGAATTCGTGATTGGGGAGGGAAGACACCTTCCCGCCTTTCCTGAATATCAGAACTTTCGTTTTCCCAATATTGACCGTAAGGCCGTTACAGTCGCAGTATTCTTCTAATATTTTTAGCTCACGCTTCAGATCGATTGAGCTGAACGCCAAGATGATAAGATCGTCCGCGTAAAGTAAAAGAATGACAGCTTTCCGGCCATCAATATCCACCCCGCGAGCACCCTTGCTACGGAAAAAACTTTCAATGTCTGCTAGATACAAATTAAAAAGAAGGGGGCTCAGTTTTTCTCCCTGCAGTACACCCTCACTCACCTCAAAGTCTTCAGTGTAGGCCTCGGTGTTTTTTATTCTGATTGTGGCTCGGTCGTAAAGGGTCTTCACGACCCGGATGACCTTTGAATTAACACCAAGCTTTAGGAGTTTGCACCAAAGCAGGTGATGTGGGACAGAGTCAAAGGCTCTACGGAAATCCACGAAGAGCGAGTAAACTCTGCCCCCAGATAGCCTCAGTCTATTTTGCAGCATCGCGGTTAAAACAAAGATATTGTCCATCACTCCCGTTTTTTGGCGAAATCCGGCCGGTTCCTCCGGAATAATATTATGGAGCTCGGCCCAATTATATATCTTTTCGTTCAAGTTGGCGGTGAATATTTTTGTTATGTTATTAATGAGGGCGATCTGACGATAATTGAGTGGGTCCGTGCGGCTCCCTTTCTTGTATAGTATGCACGAGTTGATCAGAGTCCATCTATCCGGGAAAATCCCATTCTCGAAAATTTTATTGAATAAATCGAGAACGTATACTTTCCAGGCTGCAGGAAGAAATTTAAGAAAACCATTGGAAATGGTGTCTTCACCCGGAGCTTTCCCAGTCTTGGAGCTTTTAAGACTTTTATTGAGTTCTGTCAGAGTGAAAGGATCGTCCATGTAAGGTTTCGTTAAGTGACCAAGATCTATAAAGTTATTGTCTCTTGGTAAATATACTTGAGATAAGAACGAATTCCAGTCAGCAATTTTAATCACTTCAATTCTCCTGACCCAACCTTTTGCATTTCTAATTGTATCCCGGTAGTCAATCGAGTTCTTAACGTTCACGAACATCGCCGTAATTTTCTTCTTCTGAGTTTCTTTTTTTTTTCTTGAGTAGACTTTTATACGTTTTATTGAGCTCACCAAACTTCCTAACATTAGTTGCGTCGATCCTGGGAGTGTACAATTTCCTGAACGATTTTTTGATATCCCGTTTAATCAGAGCACACTCTTTATCGAACCAAAGTGGTCTGGGCTGAGTGCTACAGCTTTTCATTTTCGAACCATTTGGCTTTGTCATAGATAAATCGAGAGCCGCTTGACAGATCTTCGTGAGCAAATTCTCATTCAGCTGGTCAATGCAGGAAATGGAAGCCGTCAACGAAGGTCCTGAACTAATGGAGCTGATGGAGACCTAGGGGAGGAAAACAAGGGAGTGGCTGAGATGTCATCCAGAAGCCTTTCCACATAATCAGCCAATTTGATGAAAACCGGTAGATAAGTTGACCCCAGAAGTTCTGAAGTCACTTCAGAGTCCACGACAATCTCCATTCTACTGAGACTGACCCATATGAGATCAAAAGTGTTGACACTTCTATTGCTGGTGAATTTGGCCGGGGTGTCTAACCTCATCCTGCCATTTAATAATACAAAGTCATTATCTGACATAAAAGACATGAGTGACTCACCTCTCGCGTCAGTTTTCTCCACGAAGTAGCGTCTGGTTTCTTGTAAGAAGGTTCCTTGAATGGCTTGGGTGGGGCGATCAGCACCGTAATCACCAATTGACGGATTAAAATCGCCCCCGAGTATAAAAATGTCGTTACTGTACTTAGCGTTTGAACGCAGATCGTTGAGGGAGAGTTGGAGAATCTCAAGGACTGGAACGAGCTGAAGACTGGGGCAAAGGTATATTGATCCAATAATAGCCCTCCAAGAGGCTGAATTGATCCGAAAGAAGATCCACCAGGGAGAGATATCAAGAACTTCTGGACACAGGTCCTGGTGAATAAGGCAGAGTAACCCACCGCTACCTCTACCTCTGGATCTATCGCGGATGGCAGAGGACCATATGCTGATGTGACTTCTGAGTTTTAAAGGAATCAATTGCGAAGAAGGATTCAAGAGCATCGTTTGAGAGATACATATTACTTGAGAATCAGAACTGATTTGATTGTGCAATACATTTACCATACCTTGAGCGTTTCAAAATTGTATCCTGATCGTTGAGGATTCTAATTGGCTTACAGGTTTTTTGATTGGAGACTTTGAGAAGCGGTGGTGGTACGAGGGGGATTGCTTCTGGTTCTCCTGGATGTTTTCGGTTTCGAAACAAGCTTTTCTTCAGCCTAGTCCCAACCCCACCAAATGCCATCAATCTCAAGACCACTGTAGCCCAACTTTATTTTCCTCCTTTGATTCTTATTAACCCTATCCATTTCTCTGACCTTTTTATAGATTACCTGCTCTAGAGGAGTGAGGTCAAGATCGATGAAAATCTGACTGACGTTGCTTTTCCCCAGTTTCGATTTATTTTTCATTATAAATTGTTTTACATCAGGAGTGGACAGTTTGGTAATCATCATCTTCCTGCCTACACCCACCATACTGGCCTCTAAAATTGCATCGGCGAGACGGGAATTTGTTGCTATAAACTGACTGATTGCCTCCTTGGGGGACTGTGAGCCCAAAGTAAGGCCTTTTACTACAATGTTATTAGCTCTACTGGCTCTGTCGTGAGAATCGAGCTGTCTTTTCAGCTCACCCACTTCCTTTCTCAATTTTCAGGAAATGCCAGTCTCAGAATTATTTTCAAGTTTCGTTAATCTTTCCTCGATGTCGTCGGATCCCACGTTCTTAGACAGTTTCAGTAGATTTGCCTCCAGAATGGAGATTTTCGAGGTTAGGTTATCAATTTGTTTCTTGGATTGTGCATCTCTGGCTTCGATAAACATTTTAAAACTTTCCAACTGATCTTTCATAAATTTATTATTCTCTTTCCTCGATTGTTCGAGAGCATCGGATTTGACTTTGCCTGCTGTGCAAAGATTGTTCACTTTGAGGAGCAAGGTTGACAATATTTCCCTGCCTGAGCTCTTCTCTACAAGACTCTGAATTTCAGCAACAGGAATGGGAATGTGATGGCTCTGTGATACATGGCTAGCTGTAGAGAATTGAAAATTTTCCATTGCAAGGTTATCAGGAGCACTAAATGATCTATTAAGTTTTTTGTTCAGTAGAGAGTCAAGGTACACGCTAGACGAATTAGAGTTCTCGTCCAGCCCAGCAGTGACCCTATTTCTTTTTTTGTAAAATTGAGAGAGTGCAGGAGGAGTCACTGCGTTTTTTCTCGCCCAGGGAACGAGCCTTCACGGGCCTGCCTCTTTTAGTAATCCTCTCGGGCTTTGTTGATTTTGGAGTGGAGCTAACAGACTGAGACGACAGAAGGCTGAATCATACTCGGGTGCTTGAAGAAGTGACTGGCCGGTGTGTCACGGTTGACAAAGAGCGATCCGACAATGAGGGGGAATCTTTCTCAGCAGATACAATCGGACTGAATGAGGTAACAGCAATTTCATGGATGAGCAGAGTTTTTTCGGTCACACTAGTCATGCCCAATTGTAAATTGGCTAACCTTAAAAATTCATTTGAACGGGAGTTATGTATTTGGAGCAGAAAAATCATTAAAAGGAGCAGATTTTTAACTCGGAGTGTTGAGCGTATTTTCCTATTTAAATCAGGTGGAAAAAGGCAATAACTGGATTATTTTTATAACAAATTTTACGAAATAATAAAGAGCACATTGAAAACACGTGCAGAGGATCGCTATCCGCAACGGAACCCCTTCAAAAATATTTCAATTTGACAATCTTTACATGTGAAAAATTTTGTAAATTCAAGAAGTTCATTTCTTGCAAATGATTCGAATAATACGAAAAAAAAATTATTCTCAAGAATTAATCGATGAAGAATAAAAGAAATATACTTTTCGAAAATTTGTCAGAAATTGAAATTATTATATCGAAAAAATTCGAGGTAATTAATGGTTGAAATTACGATTCAATTTAAAATTTTCATGTAGGAGAGGAGGGAAAAAGTACAGTGTATACCGCGAGTACATGTTTCGCAGAGCATTAGGGATCGCGGGGAAGAGGGAAAGAACGCAAGTAGTATGGTAAGCGCGAGCTCCGTGGCGGATTAGGCAATGCGGGGAAGAGGGAGAGAACGCGATACTGCGATGAGTCAGGTGTGATGCGCGATTTCAGAAGGGGTTTTTATGGGGAGGTTTAACATCTGTTGCTAGGCTATTGTTTTTATTATTATCATTATTGCTGCTGAGTGGAAGAATTGTAATCGTTCTAGTTTTCGATTTTCTAATTTTGCTTGGAAACGATGCAGAATGGTCTGAAACGTCAAAATACGAAGTTTGACCACCCCGTGTGTCTGTGCGGATGTCCATCGGGTGGTCAACTTTCAGAAAATTGGAGAATTAACCGGCTAAAGTGATTCAGAAAAATCTAAAATTCTGTCAGATTATAGGTATTAATGACGACTAACTCTGTGCCAAATTTCAGCTCAATCGATCTAGCCGTTTTTGACAAATTGCCATTTGTTTCAAAATCGTTTTTCGCAAATATCTCGAAAACCATCCAACCGATTTCATTTTTTTTTCAAAATACTCGTCTCGGTTTCACCTATAATAACCAATCAAAATATATATACCGGTTCATTCAACGTTTTCGAGATATTTCAATTTTTCTGTTTTTTGTTAAAAATGCTTCTGAACACTCTCACGTTCGCAACAATTGATATATTAACTTGAAATTTGGCACGAAGTTTTCTCTCTACACTAGAATGTTTGGTATTGAAAATGGGCTCAATCGGATTATTAGTTTGAGAGATATTCAAGTTTGTATCTGAATCTATTTTCTTGAATATCTCGAAAACTATTCAACCGATTGCATTTTTTTTTTAAATACTAGTCTCGATGTCATCTATAACAATCAGTCCAAATATATATACTGGTTCATTCAATATTTTCGAGATATTTCAATTTTTCTGTTTTTTGCTAAAAATGCTTGTTAGCACTCTCATTTTTGCAAAAATCGATATATTAACTTTAAATTTGGCATGAAGTTTCCTCTCTGCACTAGAATGTTTGGTATTGAAAATGGGCTCAATCGGATTATTAGTTTGGGAGATATTCAAGTTTGTATCTGAATCTAGTTTCCTGAATATCTCGAAAACTATTCAACCAATTGCATTTTTTTTTTTCAAACACTAAGAAGTGGGAAAGAAGTGGAAAGCTACGAGAGGGAATAAAATGAATGGGGAAAAGAAAAATTCAGAGAAATAAAATAAAAATAAGGATATTACATGTACGCGCGCACATAGAGAAAAAAAAATTATGAAGAAAGTCAATAAACATCATAAAAAAATGGATTAAAATTTGGAATAAAGAATAATTATCAACAAATAAGGATTCTGAAGTTATGATATCATGAAAAAATTCTGTTGAAAGCACCAATGGTGATTACTGTGTGTCATTCTCAGGTCCATTGTCGAACGATAGTCTTGTTTTTTTTTTTATGTTCCGTCTTGATGTCTTGAACCAACACATGCATTCGCGCCCATGGAAGTTCACGAGATATTTACATCTTTCAGTTTTTTCACAGAAAATCATCTTTTTTTTCATTAAAATCACAGTAGCTTGTCCAAAAATAAAGATATCGACTGAAATTTGAAGAGAACTTTCCTTTTACGATAACAATAGTTGATATTCAAAATGGGCTCAATTGCTTCAGCATTTTGCGAGATATTGGAGTTTTTCTGGACATCTTGGTAAATGGTTCAAACCATTCGGAAGCCGGCCATCAATTTATTGATGGCGAAAAAAAAAAAGTTAAAACCCACCAAGTAACGGTCAGATGCCCTCTCCCAAAAAGGCTTCAACCCCTGCTTATAAAATTTTTTTTTACTTTTATCAAATGTTCATTTATATCAATTTCTTCGAACGAACCAAACTTTCCCGCTTCCAATGATTGAATAATTTTTAGTAAAGATGTTTCAGAATTTCCATTCTCAAATTTTTCCAAAATTTTATGTGAAATATTTTTCTCAGTTCAAAAGAAAAATTCAGAATTTCATTTCTAGAATCTCAGTATCGAAACAAATTTCCCTAGAATTCTCAGTATCGAAACAAATTGTTTGACGATTGAGTGAATTTCGATTTCTCATTTATCATGAATTATTTTCAGGGAATTTTCAAAAATGATTCTTTTCGAAAATGAAAAATTAGATTTTTTTCTTTCTCTACAAAAATTATTTTTCAATTTCTTGACAACAAATTCATCATCTATTTTCTTTTTAGTTTGACTATTATTGAGTCAGATTTCGTCGTAAAAATTTTAAATCTGAAACGATTTTCAAAAATTTTATTTTTCAACCAAATCTCTAATTTCTTTCTTGTCCATTTCCTTCAAAATTCATCCCAACAATTTATCCTTTAAATCCCGGTTGAGCCCCCACTTTTTTTATGTTATGATTTCACAGTAAATATTTAAAGATTTTTGATTAAATAAAGGCTGAAATATTACGATAGTTAAACTTCTCCTATTTTTAGCCTATCCGCGAGGATAATAGCTAGGGATTGGAGTCGGGTAAATTGTTGGAATAAAAATAGAAAAAGAATTAAATTTTGACAAATTCAAATATATTCAAATTATTAGAATCAAACTTTCACCAATTAACAATTTATCAATCAAATTAGTACAATTATTTAATTAATTATCTCGTCACATAAAATTTAAATTCAAACACTTATTTCATTTTCTGTGATCAGTGGAAAAAATTTCGACATTTCACAATTAAAAAACAAAAATTAAGTTTAAAAAAACATAAAAATAATAATGATAATAAATTTTATCAACTTACCCATTTTCTCCGAAATTTCCTCCGTGTTGTATTCCAAATTCCGTGGTTTCGTAGATTATTCTGCAGTAAACTTCAACATCAATAATAGTACACTACATGCTCGAGGCTTGGAAAACAGATCACCGTCCCTGTTGGGTGATGTTTTCCATGGCGAGATATGTATATTAATTTTCGTGTCGAGGGACCTGCAAAACTCCAATTTCGCTCAGCGCCACGAAAATAGGGTTTTTCAGGTCCCGTGACACAAAAAAAATTTTTTTTTATCGCATGTCACAAATCTCAAAAATTGTCCGTATCGAATTCCATAATTCAAATTAATTTCTCTGTATCAATGATTGGATTCTATTTCACTTTTATATGAGCCAAATTATTTCATGATTCTATCCCGAATAATAGTCCAAATCGCGGAACTGGAGATGCGAAGAAAACTGCGGAGGAGTTGAAAGGGAACTGTCCGAACTGATCGAATTGAGGGAACTGTCCCAACTAACTTTGGAAGTGCGTCAATGCACTTTTATTAACTGGCATTGTAACTGTCTTAACCAATGTATGTGCATTGATTTTGATATATTTTTCAAAGGAGGGGGCATCGTACGATGTCAAGCACCAAGGTACATCTCGGTACGGATACCTGAACCTCCTAGTGATAACGTTCTTGGAGACAATTCCAGGCGTTGCCACCTAACGATCACGTGATCGCTCTATTAAATGATTCAATTTTACTCATTATTTGATTTTTTTTGGCTTATTTCACATTCCAAATTTTTTTAAATAATATTTTCCTCAAATTCAATAGATTTTTCTCAATTTTTCAAAATTAATTTCATCGCTCTAGATGCCCTATCTCTCATTGACTAGCGAATTTACATAACATGGCCTGACCACCTAAGTGTTGGCGATATTGGCTCGTGTTAACAGAAAAAAAAGTAACCATTGTTTTCTTTTCATCGATTAAATTCCACCTTAAATATTCCACGGGTAATATCGATCGAAATTTAGACTCGTTTTTGTTTTTATTCTAAACGCAAAAATTCTTGTCTTCTTAAATTCTCTTTAAAACTGATTAGTGACTTAATTTTTTTTCATTATCTTTTTTCGAAATTATTGAATATTTGAAATATTAGAAAAAAAAATGCGGTACGTCTCCTGACGTAATATAACTGATTATGAACTCAAAATTGTAATTTCATTATATTATTCCTCGAATGTAAATTAATGTCATAGTCAAGAAGAGTAACCGTATCCGAAAAATGACGGACATAATATTTCCATATTCTAAAACCATACAAATCGAGAGGTTGAATCTTCCCAGTGTTACCCTTCGATATCAACATAGCCAATAATTCTTTATTTGGAGGAGTCGCTTGTTATATTGCTTGAAGACAGTGCCCACTCCAAGAATCTATGAACAGTAGAATTTTAGATCCTACTTTTGAGAAAAATACTTCCCTCAACCAGGTTTTGAAATGCTCGGAAAATTTGGAAAATTTTTAATAATCGTAATAAATGTATAGAAAATATTACTGTTCTTATGCGTTCAATGTTATCTCACCTGAAGTGAGTTTCCATGATTTTGAATCCGTGACGAAAACATTGGATGGTCTAAAAAGATTCTGTTCTACTAGTGGGCCAAAAGTTCCACAAGGT